GGCCGTCTTGGGGCACCCTTGGGAGCCTTGGGGGCCATCTTTGGGCAATCTTGGAGGAGATCGACCAAAGGAGGGGAGCTACCCCACTAGGACCCTCCCTGGGAGGGCGAAGTGTAGCCAAAGCCTTAGTACAATCAATGATGTTGGCCTTCTCGCCGAGGCCATCTTGGGCGCTCCAACGACCCGCGAACACCCTCCCCTTCCAAACCCAGGGGGAGGGGGGAGGGGGAGAGGTTAAGACACCCTCCCCGCCCGCAAGCCGTCTCTCTCACTCCCACCCGCCCTCCCAACACATCAGTAGAACCCGAGCCGCAGCTTGTTCAGCGGTAGTCGTTGTATGGACAGCTTTTGGGAACCAAAACAGGCCCCATGTGCGCAACGCTGTCGCGAGGTGTGCCAGGCGTGCCAGGCGCGCCTCGCGCGCCAGGTGCGCCAGGCACCCCTGTAGCCCAAGCCTGCCGGGCACGCCTGGTGCGCCAGATGCGCCACGTGATCCAAGTGCGCCTCTTGTGCCGCATGCCCCAGCTGTGCCAGGTGCGCCACGCTCGGGGCACGCGCAGAGTGTGCCAGGTGCGACTGCGCACGTGGCAGTACACATCGGGAAACACGTCGGCCCCCACCACCCTTGTTGAAAACCAGTGCGCAATCGCGGGGGGGTGGCCATCATAGCGTCGGGCGGGCCTGCACATAGCAGGCAATGTGTCAGCACTCCCGCCGTCCCAGCCAAAACCAATTCACAATGTCTGCGGGGTGCCCGCGCATGATTTAGATCTTGTCTCGAAGTGCATTATTCATTGTCTTTTGATAGGGCTGCTGGCCGTGCGCACAGCAGGCAATATGCGGGCACCCCCGCCATCCCTATCAAACAACAAGACAAAGTGCTCGCGGCCCCCCCCGATCATGACCCAAGATTTTGCCCCGAAGTGGATGTCACGCTGTCCTTTGATGACAGGGATGGTGGGGGGGGGGACATTGTTCTTGCTTGGCGGCTGTGAAAGGTGATAACCCCCGAGCCGAAGGGGAGGAAGGGGGGGTGGAAGAGGACACGTTCTAGACTACGCACGCCCAGAGGGCTGGTGGGATTGGTAGCGAGATCGGCCCGTGGGTAGTTGCATCGATATCCTGCGCTTGCCCCTTGGGTCCACTAAAAGATATGTATGGTGGAGAGACAGTGGCGCCGAGATATAGGAAGATATATCGATACTTTGGCAATTGGATCGAATTATAGATAGCGTGGCCGAGACATGGGAATATCAACACCTATCGATCGATTGGTCGCGAATCCGATCAGACGCCAATCGCAAACCGAAGGCTGCCCCCATCCTCCCCCCAACCACATCACCCGAATGGGGGTCCGTCCCATAAATGTGCTCTTTGTGCCTGTTGTAGACGTCTTTGGACGGCGTGACGCCGTGACGCCTCCCTGCGGGGGTTGTCTGTCCGGCACGCCCGTTCGATCTGCCATCTCGTGATATCGTGATTGGGCTCTCGAGATTTTCTGGAGGAGGAGGAGGAGGAGGAGGAGAAAGAGGAGGAGGAGGAGGCGGAGGAGGAGGAGGACGAGGAGGAGGAGGAGGAGGAGGAGGAGGAGGAGGAGAGGCCTGGCGGCCACGAGATGCAGGGCGGGCGAGGTGGCATACTCGGGGACCGCCCGAGCTATGCGGGGCCCGGCGGCCGCGGGTGCCGAAGGCCGACGCGAGGGCTCGGAGAACGCCTCGCCTCGCGCAGAGCAGCGCCCGAAGTCCTCCTCCTCCTCCTCCTCCTCCTCCTCCCTCCTCCTCCTCCGCCTCCTCCTCCTCCTCCTCCTCCTCCTCCTCCTCCTCCTCCTCCTCCGCCTCCTCCGCCTCCTCTCCTCCTCCTCCTCCTCCCTCCTCCTCCTCCTCCTTCTCCTCCTCCTCCTCCTCCTCCTCCTCCTCCTCCTCCTCCTCCTCCCGGGCGAATCGGGCGCAGGCTCGCTCGCGCCCGCCCCATGGGGCTCGGCGGAGAGCCAGCAAGAAGCACCCCCGGCCTGCTGGGAGGGCGAGCTGAGCCGGACCCCTCGTTGCTTTCATCCTCCACCCCCGACCCCTCGTCGTCGTCGTCGTCGTCGTCGTCGTCGTCGTCGTCGTCGTCGTCGTCGTCGTCGTCGAGGGCGCACAGGCGGCGTCGGGCCGTCGCGAGCGGAGCTGCCGGGGTCGAGGGCGCACTGGGGCGGGGCAGAGGGGCCTCCTCCCTCGGGGCATCGCTGGGCAGCCACTCTACGTGTGCACCGTGCCGGGGGCGGCCGGCTGCGAAGGGGCGGCTGGCCTCGGGGCTCCAGGGGCGGGCGTCGGTGCCGAAGGGGGGCCAGCCAGAGCGCCGCACAGGCGGCGCAGCGGGCCTCCTCTCCTCGGGGCATCGCTGGACACCCGAGGTGTGCACCGTGCCGGGGGTAGCCGTCTGCGAAGGGCTGGTCTCGGGGCTCGAGTCAGAGGAAAAAGCGGTACCCATAGCGCTACCCTTGCTTCGTTTTCCCCTTTTTGGGCCTCCTGGGAGGCCCTCGCCGCCACCGCTGGGTTCGCCTCGAAATTCTGGTCAGAACGCACCCTGGGAGAGGTCCAGGGAGTACCGGTATCGGTACATTTTGGTTTCTCCAAAGAGACGGGCGTCAGTTCAAATGGGATCTCAGGCAGAGCGCCAGATTTTGCAGGATCTTGCGGAGCCAGGGGTGCATGGACCTGGGCGTGCGCGCAGGATCCTGCCGCATCATGCAGGATTTTGCAGGGTCCTGCAAAGCCTGAGTGACCCAGGTGTGCCTTGGCCCGGGTCAGTGCGTCCCCGACGGTCATCGAGGCTGGCGCCTTGCTTCCCCGCCCCTGTCTGCCAGCTTGGATCCCAACGGGGGGGCTCTTGCTGCCAGCCTCGAGCCCGGCAGGGGGGGAATGAGCGGGGTGGAGGACGTCCCCCCCTCGGCGGCGGCGACGACGGCGGCGTCGAAGACGGCGACGACGAGACGATTCTGCCTCGCAGGCCTCTTCGGTGTGCCGCGGTGCCCGTTCGCCCGCCCAGGGCGGGCGCGCAGCGCGCTGCTCGTTCTACTTGCCCCGCGTGGCGGGGGCCGTCGCCGCGCTGCGATCGGGGCGCCCGCCCCCCAGTTACCAGCCTGGAACATATCCCTATCCCTATGCTGGGCACCTCCGCATCACGATGCCAATCTTAGGGATTCCCTTATTTTTTGAGGGCGACTCCCTAAGATTGTCATCGCCTTTTGGCGTGCCAGTCTCAGGGATAGGGATACGTTCGGGGCTGGTCACCCCAGGCACCCTGGTCTGGGACGACACGGTCAGCGGCAAGACGGAGGCGGAGGTGCTCATGATGACGATGTTCAGGCCGCGCCCCGCGGCGCGCCGGGCAGGCCAGGGGCGGGGCGGGGCGGAGCGAGGACGGCAACGGCGACGACGGCGGCGCCAGGAGCAGCAGACGAGCTGACGCCGAGGTTGGCACCTGCTTTTTTCCAGTGTATCGTTTCGCCGATCGGCGCGGGCCCCCGGCCCCCTCCCCCTCGCACCCCCGTAGACCACATCTTGGCTGTTTTTGGCGGCTGCTCTCGGCGACTGGTCAGGACTCCTCCCCCCCCAGTCTGCCCGCGCGACTGGCAAAAGCAGATCGACTGAGCACCGGCCCGGTCCCCGACCACCCCCCTCCCCCACCATTCTGGTCAAATGGCGAAGCCCAGGATAAAAGAGAAGCGCCTGCCTGATGCTGGCATCGGATCGGCGACGGGCCTGGGAGGAGGTGCGAAGGAGAAGGCCTCCTCAGAAGGCTCGGAAGCCCCTGGCCTTCTGAGAGGTTCTCGGGGCCTCCCTCGAAGGCACGGAAACCTTCTCCGAAGGCGCGAGGCCTTCTGAGAAGTCCCGCCGCCTTCCGAGAAGCCCTTCGCCTTCTCATTCCCCCCCCCCCTCGCCTTGGTGCGCGGCCCTGTGATTTCATCGTAAAGTGTCCGGCGCTCGCCTGGTTCCACAAAAGAGAGAATCCCCCCCCCCTCGCTCGCCACCGGTCGGAGACGTGGCACCTCGGTGGGGGGAGCCCCGCCCTCCTGCCTCCGGCCTCGGCTCCCGCCTCCGCCCTCCCTGCCCCGCCGCCACCGCCCGACCGTTCGAGCCATCGGGTGGTGCAGACCATGTGCCGCCGCGCCGCTTGCTTTTTCTGTCGGGCGTGTCCCCCTACAGCAGGGGGATTTTCGACGAAAAATTAAAAATACCCCAAAAATGCCCCCCAAAGGGGAAGCATATTCAAACAATGGTCCCCAGACTACTTTTGGATTATTTTTTGATTATGTTTGGGGTATTTGTTTTGCTTTTCGTCGAAAACCCCCCTGTAGGGGGACAGGCCCGACTTAACGCTTGCTCCGACGCGCGGCCCTGCGTCTCTGAGAGGGCGCCGCGGGCACCGGGGCAGCTCCGCCTCCGGCGCAGGGCTTGCCGTTGGGCTCGCCGCGGTGTCGGCGTCGAAAGAAGCGGCGCAGCGAAGTGTGCGGTGTGGTGCTGCTGCTCGAGAGTCGCGGGCGTGAGGCGTGCACACGCTGACGGTGCCGCGTCTGAGCCTCACCTCAAGGCCAGAGCTTGCGTGCGGAGCCTCCAGGGAGAGGGAGCGATGGGCCCTTCTCCGCCTGTTCCTCCCCTCTCCTCCTCCTCCTCCTCCTCCTCCTCCTCCTCCTCCTCCTCCTCATCCTCCTCCTCCTCCTCCTCCTCCTCCTCCTCCTCCTTCTCCTCCTCCTCCTCCTCCCCCCTAACTGTAGGGCACGATGTGCCCCCTTTCTCCTCCTGCCTTCCGCGACCCTGGCACCCGTCCCCTTGGGACGGTTGACCACCAGGGTCAAGCGTGTGTGCGCCCGTCCACTCTTCGTCCTCCTCCTCCTCCTCCTCCTGCTCCTCCTCCTCCTCCTCCTCCTCCTCCGTGGCTGGTTTTGGCTCAGGGTTCTGGCCAACCGCCCGCAGCCTCCGCCGTGCAGTCCCCTGCAGCCGCTCCCCTTCTCGAAGAGCATGGCCTCCGCCGCGCTGCTCTGGGAGTGCGTGAAGTCCAACAACTCCTTCATGCGGAAGAGCCCCGGAGCCGGCAACAAGACCATGTCGGCTGAGCCGGGGAACCTCTGCGGCCTCCACTCGTTCAAGTTCAGCGGCATCGCCAACGACAAGGTGCTGGGTCTCGCCCCGACCAAGACGGGCAAGAAGGACAAGATCACCCTCACCACCAAGGCTGAGATCATGATGTTCCAACCTACTTTAGCCTTGGCCACCAGAAAGACTTTCGAGCACCAGAAGTACCGAAACTCAATGCTTTTTACGCGTCGAGCCCTGGGAGACACTCGTCCGACACTGTTTCGACACTCTTTTGACACTTTTCCAGGTGCTCGAAATTATTTCTGGGATGTGGCCCCTAATTACAATGGGGGCAACATAAGGCTAAGAAGCCCGCGAAGCTGTTCGAGCCGAAGGGGCTGATCATCGAGAAAGGTATCAAGAAGAGCGCCAAGAAGGGGCCCGAGCAGCTGAAGAAGGTGATTGAGGCGGGCTTCTACCGCAAGGACCTCCTCGACCTCGCCATGGCCAAGTACGCGAAGATTAGGACCTCCTTCAAGACGAAGAAGCTGACGGTCAAGTCCCGCCGGGCCAAGGCGTGAGCGGATGCCGAGGCCGCGCTCGACAGAACACGGCTCCTCCTTATCCTACTCGTTGTCCTCCCCTTCCTGGACCTGGACCAGAACAGTCAAACCGCATCAGAAGGGCGAGAACCTCTTCAGGGGTAACCCTGCGCCCTTGCCTTTCGGCCCATCCTTGCCCCTAACCATGGGCCACTGTCTTTCAGCTTCTATTTCACTTCGGGCATCCAAGGGCCCTTCGCCCTTTCCGCGCACCCACATGATCCGGTCGCGCTACGCAAGGCACATCAGGCAGGACTAGGACTGGGAGGAATAGTTCCAGAGCGTTCCATACCGTTCTAAGAGCGTTCTGAACGCGCTGGCACGGCTGCGGCGCCTGATGCGTCCCCCTGAACAGCCCGATCTCAGAGATCCCCGACTTATCCCGATCTGATTTTGTCCTCATCCTGGCCTCGTTTCCGCGCAAGTTGTGAGTCGGGCCTGTCTCTCTACAGGAGGAGCGTTCACACTGTCTGTGGACGCTATTTTGAATCTTTGTGCATCTTGTGCGAATATCTTCTTGCTTCGTGCCAACTCCCCCTGCAGGAGGACATGCCCGACCTGACGCAAGTTCCGTCACCATTCAGCCTCCGCTCCGAGACGCCCGCCCGCCCGGCCTGCCCCGCCCCGGGCCAGAGCGGCGCCTGCCGCCCGCGCGCGCGCGCCTGCGATGCCCCGGCCGCGCCTCCGCGGGCTCCGGGCGGTGCGCCTGCTGCTGGCCGCTGCCGCCGGCCGCGCTGGCGCCAGCGACCCCTGCTTCTCTCGGCGGCTCAGAGGTGGGGCCCTGCGGGGCGGGGCCCACACAGGTGTCGGCTGCGCGCAGGAGGGTATTGGGGGAGGGGGGAAGGCTTCTCAGAAGCACCCCCGCTGCTTCGAAGGCGTGGGCGTTGTCTGTGGATGTGAGGCCGGCGCCTCGTAAGGAGCAGTCTCCTTCTAGACAGCCTGCCCCCCTTCCCGCTGCCAAAGGTGGGAGGGAGGGGGCCCGATGCCGCTGCCCCGCCTCGTCTTTCCAATGTTTGAGCCTCCTGGGAGGCCCTAATCGCCGCGGCTGGGCTCGCAACGAGATTCTGGTCAGAACGCGCCCTTGGAGATGTCCGGGGAGTGATTAGCGGTATCGGTACCTTGTGGATTCCCCACTCAAGAGTGGGCGGTGGACAACAAGCTGAATCTTCACTGAGTGAAGCCGCCCGTGCGTAGCCGAATTGGGCCCCCTCCCCAGACATACGGCGTTTTGATTGTGTCAGCGTGCTGTTCCCGGAAGTCCCGACCCTTTCCCCAGGGCTGGCGTTTCATCCCGAGTAGTGTTTCGACGCCTCCGTGGCCCAGCGAGGACTCCAAGAGGCCGAACGCGGCCAAGAACCTGACACGTCCTGATTCTGTCACGACGCGAGCATCAGAAGGAGAAACAACGCCATGAATATAAACTTCTGGCGCTCCGCGCGGATTTCTCGGATCCGCGCTGGCCCCCCCCCCCCCCCCCCCGCGGCGCCTCCGGCGCCGCCCCTGGCGCGTTTCGAGCGCTAGGGAGGGGGCGTCCAGCGCGGATCCGAAAATCCGCGCGGAGCGCCAAATGTTAATGGCGCTTCTTCTTCTTCTTCTAAGCAAGTCTGGGTCCCGCAGGGCCGCATTTCTGAACCGCCGTTCCTCAGCGCAGCGCTTCGGGCACGGCTTCGGGGTGTCCGCCGGCGGCGGCGAGTCGGGGCCCCCGCCGCGGCTGGAGGCCGCCAGGGACACCGAACGGGTCCTGAGGGAAACGGGTCCTGGGGTCGTGTCGGCTGCACGTCAGAGTGACCCTTCGCCGGGGTGACCTTGTTCGAAGAAGGAAAATCTCATAAACATAAACTTCTGGCGCCCCGCGCGGATATCCTGGATTCGCGCGGAGCACCAAAAGTTTATGTTTATCTATGTGTTTTTGTTCCTTCTTCTGTTGTGGTGAGGGCCCATCGAGCGCAGGCATGCGATGCGACAGCAGCAGCTTGCGCGCTTGGGTTTGGCTCCCCCGCGCCTCCCCTCGAGCCGCGCACCAAAGCCTGCAGCCGATCTTGCCTGCAAGCCGATCTTTCCCCGCTGTTGGCCTCCCTGGGCACTCCACGGGCCCTGGGTTGGTGTGAGAGCGGCTCAGCAGGACGAACATCGAAGAAGAACAAGCGGCATAAACATAAGTGCTCGACGGTCCGCATGGATTTCTTTGAAAAGAGTTGCCCCAACAAACGGCATAAACATAAATGTTCGACGGTCCGCACGGATTGTTTTGGAAAGGCGTTGCCCCGCCCACCTTGGCGGCGCCTCCGGCGCCGCTCCTGGCGCGCGGGGGGGCCAGCGCAGATCCAACAAATTTGCGGACCGTCGAAAGTTTATGTTCATGCCATCGTTTGTTCCTCGACCCCAGGTCCCTCCACGGGCCCTGGGATGGTGCGAGAACGGCTCAGGACGGAAAGCTCGTCTTGTGGGGGAAGTCGAAGAAGAAGAAACCACATAAACATAAACTTTTGGCGCTCCGCGCGGATGTCTTGGATTCGCGCCTGGGCCCTCTGGCGGCGCCTCTGGCGCCGCCCCTGGCGCGCTCCGCGCGCCAGGGAGGGTGTCCAGCGCGGATCCAAGAAATCCGCGGGGAGCGCCAAAAATATATGTTTATGTGGTTTTTTCTTCTTCTAGGAAGGCCCCGGGGTCCAGGTCCCGTTTTCCTCAGGGGCCGTTCGCTTCCTGCCCGCGGAGGCTGACGCCTTCGTGGCCCACGTCAGGTACGACGGCTGCGCCGAGCTGGACTTCTACCCCCGGCTGAAGCAGCACGAGACCCGCGGAGGCCTCTGCGCGGTGTGCGGTTGCGCGTAAAAGAGTGACCTTTCGCTGGAATGACCTTGGGTGCAGGCCCACACCCGGACTCGTTGGCGTGGATTTTTCAGGCGGTCGCAAACATGGATCAAGGGTGCGTGGATTAGCGACGGGTCCGGTTTCCATGGGAAATCACCATGGATTTCCGCCGCCGAGCGAGGCGGCACCGGCCGCATTTTGGGGAGGGCACCTCCCCCTAATTACCCGTGGATTTGGCGACCGCGCGCCAAATCCATGGATCGCTAATCCATGTTTGCGCGCCGCCGAATGTTGTGAGCCCTCGCTGGGCCGCGGCACCGCTAGAAGACGACTCAGGATGAAAGACCGGCCCTGGGCAAAGGTCAGGAGGGGAAAAAACACACAGACACAACTAATCGTCGATTCCAAGGAAAATGTGGAAAAATATGAGAAGTGGGGGGAAGACAAAAACCAAGAAAATATAGGAAAACATAAGGAAGCCTTTCATTTGTGCGTATTTATTTGTGTGTCCCAGGGCCCCTTTCAAAAGGTCGGGACTTCCGGGGCCACAGATCGAAACATCAAGTCTTCGCATGTTTGGGCAGGGCCCCTCGAGCACTGGCTGGCGCACCTGGAACGGCCCCCGCCGAGGCCCCCGAAAGCCGCGCACCTCAGGGCGCTCTTGCCTCGAGTCCGTCTTGTGATCGTTTGTCTTATTCGTTGTTTTGCCGATCGGCGCGGGCCCTCGCACCCTCTCTCCCCCCCCCATGGAGTGGATCCTGTCTGTTTTTGGCGCCTGTTTCGAGCAGGTGGAGTCCCTCCCCCATCGGACGCACCGTCGCAAACAGTCGCACTAAGCAGAGGCCCGGAGCCAGATCCTCCCCCCCCTTCCCGCCCAATGTCGAATCGCCGCGTAAAAAAACGCGCACCTGGCGCACCTGGAACTGCCCCCACCGAGGCCCCCCGAAAGCCGCGCACCACAGGGCGCTCTTGCCTCGAGTCCGTCTTGCGTGGGGCCGAGGTGTGGCTGGAGAGGCAGGAGGCGGCCCCGGCGGCGTGCGGCCCTGGCCAGGATCGGGGGCAGCGACAGGTGGGGATGGGCACACTGTAGGGGGAGGAAGCATCGACCACCAATCGCCCACTGATCGCCGATAGGGGCCCGATGGCCCAAACCTGCCCAGGAAGGTGCGGATTCACGATCAGGGGCACATCGCCGATCCGTCGGCGATGCATCGCCGATTCCACGTCGATGCATTCGCCCCCGTATGCCGGTCCCCCCCCTATCGTGGCCCCTCACAGGAGGAGCGGCGCCTGGAGCACGAGGTGCGCGTCTCGCTGCCCGCCGCGGCGGTCACAGGGGGGGGGGAGCCACCTGCAGGGCGGGGGGCCAGGGAGGGGGGCGCCTCGACCCCCTCGGCCCCCAATGGCAGGCATGCTCACTTCCCTGACCTTCCAGGAGGGCTAAGGAATAACACCCGACTTACAAACCAATCCCAAAGCTATTATACGTCTTGATTTTTCATTTAGTTTTTTAGGTATTTCAGCCTCCGGTGCTAAAACATAGCTCTCTGGAAGGTCAGGGCTTGCGAGGGGAAGAACCAGAGGCGCGACGGAGGGGTTATGATTCGTTCTTTCTTGGGGCTTCTGGAGCACTCGCCGGGCCCGGGACCCATCGGAAAACCCTTCGGGAGGAAAGACCGGCCCCTCCGGGGAAGTGAGGGTCGGGGTTTCGGAGGACCGCGCTCTCATCAGGAGGGAAAAAACACACAGACACAATTAATCGTCGACCCCGAGGAAAATATGGGAAAATATGGGAAGTGGGGGGGAAGACAAAAACCCGGAAAATATGTGAATTTATGGGGAATATTTTTATTTGTGTATTTATTTGTGTGTTCTGGAGCCCCTTTATCTCAAGAAGTCAAGGTGTCGCATGTCTGGGATCGCCCGCTCCTCGTCGATGGAGGCGTGGATGCCCCGACCAGCCCAGGCACCCCGGGAGCTACCATGAAGTCGGGCATGTCCCTCTACAGGAGGAATGCTCAAAAACAGTCCCAAAAGCCCAGGACTTTTTGGGGGACTGTTTTTGAGCATTATTTGAATATTGTTTGAATATTGTTTGAATATTGAATATTGTTTGAATCTTGTTTTTATTTATTGTTTTTGAGCATTCTTTGAATCTTGTTTGGCTGTTCTTATGTTCCGTCCGAAATCCCCGTGCAGGGGGACAGGCCCGACCGAAGGCTACCACTCGGGCGCCTGCCGCCGATCTGTCGGCGATGCCACGTCGGTTCCCAGTCGTCGCTTCCCTCCCCGAGCAGACCCCCGGCGCCGTGCTCTTCGCACGGCGCGCCGTGTTTCGACAGCCCTGGGTGCCTGGCGAGGGCCCCCGGAGGCCGATGACGGCCAGAAGCTGGCCGTCGTGATTTCTTGTTCACGGCACGAAGGTCCGGGTCAGACTGGTCAGATCGACTAGGCGTAAGAGTGACCTTTAGCCGGAGTGACCGTTGGTGCGGGCACAGATGGGCCCTGAGATGGCTGAAAACGAAGCGGTAGCAGCGGCTTGCGCGCCCAGGTTTGGTCTCCCCGCGGCCCCCAAAAAGTCGCGCACCAAAGGTCACTCTTACCCAGGGTCGCTCTTGCGTGTAGCCGATCAGACCAGCTGCTCCTCGCTGGAAGGTACCCGGCCTGTCTCAGGGTGCGCTCTGGCCAACTTTTATCAGGAGCGAAAGAAGGACGGACACGTACATGAATCCACGCTGGTTTCGAGAGCACGCATTGCCCGAATGTTCGTATCACGTGGCCAGTCTCGCGGATCGAGGGGCCGCGTTCATGTACGTAGCTGGGCGCGTACTTCTCTTGTGGGCTCCCTATCTCGGGCCTCCAGGGGAATCCACCCGTGGCGAGGAGGAGCCTCCCAGAGGTCGGAAACGTCCACAACAACACCCCTGAGACCAACCGCTCCTCGCTGCTGTTCTCCACTGGCGGACCCCCAACTCCCTCCCCCGCTAGACATGTGCATGGGGGCTTGCACCCATACGTGGATGTGTACATATCATGTGTGTACATGTGTAGATGTGTATATATGCAGGTATGTCTGTCTGTGTGTATGTATGTATGTATGTATGTATGTATGTATGTATGTATGTATGTATGTATGCCTGTCTGTATGTAGGTATGTATGTAGGTATGTATGTGTGTATGTATGTATGTGTGTATGTATGTATGTATGTATGTATGTATGTATGTATGTATGTATGTATGTATGTATGTATGTATGTATGTATGTATGTGTGTATGTATGTATGTATGTATGTATGTATGTATGTATGTATGTATGTATGTATGCATGCATGCATGCATGCATGCATGCATGCATGCATGCATGTATGTATGTATGTATGTATGTATGTATGTATGTATGTATGTGTGTCTGTTTGTAGGTCTGTCTGTCTGTCTGTCTGTCTGTCTGTCTGTCTGTCTGTCTGTCTGTCTGTCTGTCCGTCTGTATGCATGCATGCATGTATGTATGTATGTGTGTATGTATGTATGTATGTATGTATGTATGTCTGTCTGTATGTATGTATGTATGTATGTATGTATGTGTGTATGTGTGTATGTGTGTATGTGTGTATGTATGTGTGTGCATGCATGTATGCGTGTGTATGTACAGCCGCATGCAAGTTCAGATGCTCCACGACTCCCTCAGGCCAACTGCTCCTCGCTGCTGTTCGCCTTCCCCCCCGGGCAGCGCTTCGAGTACTACGACCTGGCCCGGCCGCCGGCCTGGCCCGCGCCGCTGCTCGGCGGCGCCGGGCCGCGGCAGCCAGCCAGCCCAGACCTCTGGCGCCTCGATGTCTTCGAGGCGCGGGCCCTCCAGCCTCTCGGCCACGTCTCCGAGGGCCAGGTCTCTTCATCCTGGGTCGCTTTCGGATTGCCTCGAGGCCCCGCGAGGGCCCCGAGAGGCGGAAGACCAGGAAAAGCCACCGTCGCTCGCTGGGCCTCCCAGATGGGGGTCGGAGCAGATGGGGGGTCGGAGGGATGCGCCTCATCGCTGCAGCATCGCCGATGCATCAGCGATGCGGTTCGATTGGGGGCCTGATTCTCTCCACGCCGATGTCGCCGATGCATTGCCGACGTCGCCGACGCATCTCCGATGCATCTCTGATACATCGCCGATCTATCCCATCTGCTCGGACCCCACCTGGGAGGCCTCTAGTCTCGATGTTTTCGAGACGCCGGATGTCTGCCAGCCCCGCCTCCTTGCAGCCCGCGCCGCGGCTGCCCGCCCGCCCCGCCGCCCAGGCGGCGCCCTGCGATGCCGCCGACGCCTCCTCGTTTTCCTTCTCCCCCTCCTCTTCCAGCCGTTTCGGCTCGGGCTAGATTGAGTGAGCAGCTCGAGTTTGTGTCCACGTACGTCGAAGCGGCTCGTGGGCACGAGTCAAGTGGATTCTACGCGCGGCACGGCCGCAACTCTACACACCGCGGACAGTGGCATGGGCCCCAAGCGGCGCTAAGAGAATGCGCAGCGCTGGGGCAGCAAGCGCTGTTTCAATGAGACACTGGAGCACCATTGTGGAAAAGGGCGGATGCTACTTCTTGTCATTTACACTGTAGTGCTAAAGGTCGTGCGTTCCTGCGTAGTGCTTGCCCCCCCCTGCGCCCAGCTTCTCCCTCCAGTCTGGTGGCGCAGCAGGCACCAAAGACAAGGATGAGGATAAGCAGCTGGAGCCGAGGCCGAAGCGCACCCACGCCCTGGAGGCAAAGCTGCGCAAGGACGACGAAGCCGCGCACGATGGCGGGGGCTCTGAGCCACCTGTCGATCCGAGCAGGGCCACGAACCGTGCAAAGTTGCAAAACAGGGTGCGGCTGTCGAGCTCCTGCAGACGGCCGCCGTCGCTGCTGCCAGGGCCAGGGGGGCGGGGGACGCCACCTTGGACTCAGGGGGGGCCAAGAGCGCGCTGCACGGGCGAAGGCCACGGGTGACGAGACGAAGGCATCGACGCCGTGATCGTCCAAGCAGCACGGCTGCGTCAGCAGGGCCGCAGCTGCGGAGAAGGCGGCCGAGGGGGCTCACGTCCACCGGCAGGGCGAGAAGGAAGCGGTCGGGGAGAGGGTGTCGCACGCTGCTGAACTGGAGGGCGGACCAAGGCGAAGGAGGCAGCCGAGCTGGAACTGGAGAGGGAACACCTGGAGCTGCTGCAGAGCCGAGCGCCGCCAGAGCAACACACACACACACTCTTCTGAAACGGTGTTGGAAGCGTTCCAGTCCAGCTTCAGGCAGCTGCAGGGTGTGTTGGCACAGCTGTGTGCACTGTCAGAGCTCTCCGAGCTATGCCTGCAGCAGGTGGCCCCTGTTTTCGACTGGGTGCGCAAGGCGCAGCAAGAGCGCGCAGCGCGCGCGACAGCCCAGGAGATTCCGAAACCATGCGGCCCCCGTGCAGCATTGCACACAGCGCCCAGTGCTGAGGCAGCTGAGCAAGTAGTCCCAGATTTGGATACCCACGATGCTGATACTGAGGATGTTAAGGGGTGTTTGACATGTGGGTGATGACGATCCAGATTCCATGCCGGAGAATGAGATATTCTAGGAGGCCGAGCGACATGCGAGCTCATGAAGGGTCCTCCATCAAGGTCAGGCCAAGAAGAGGGCTCGGGCCGCTTGAGCTCACCGCAATGGTCGTCGACATGGTGCCGAGGGTCCAAGCTCCGGCACGAAGTCTGTGACGGCCCGTCACGGATGCAGGAAGCGCGGCGTCGACGCCCGCGGCCGCGTGCAGAACGGGGCCATCGCGACGTCGGGCGGCGAACTTACTTCGGGAGCGGCGGCCTCGTTCGGCATCGAGACGGTCCAGTGCGAAGTCGGCTCTGCCAGGGCAGAGCTCCCCCCGTCACGCTTGCGCAGGGCGGCATGGGTCTCGCTCGCCCTGGCTATTTCCAACAGCTGCAGGGCAATTCAATGGGCAGCTGGTCGGCGGGCTTGCGCTGGCAGCCGGTCGCCCAGAGGGGGGCGCGCAGCATCGGGGCCTCCTTCGCGCGCGGGCTGCGATGCTGACGGCCGCGGAGGAGCTGCAAGGGGGCGATGGCCGCGCCGGCTCGGGCGCGGCTGCTGCGAGCTTCTCGGCGGCGACGTTTGTTATTGCCCAAGAGTGCCGCGGGGGTGGCGCGAGCGTGGAGAGTCAAATGGCGCTCGTGGCCTGGCGGGTCTGGCAGCGCCCTCGCGGGCAATGCTCAGACAGCCAGGCGGCGCGCGTTGTCTGGCTGGTCTGGCGCAGATGCTTCTCCAGGGGGCGCTCCAGACTATGATGGCGAGGTAGCCTTCAAATGTGATTCAGGCGACGGGGTGCTGCGCTCCCGTGCTGCAGCCCATGTTATGGGGTCCTCCACATCTGGCCGTGATGATTCATGTTCCTCGACTAGCGGTTCTGGCGCGGAGGGGCCAGTCCCTCCTGCCGCGGCGCCTGGCGCGGAGCTCGCGCCGACGGCTGCGCCCACGGACAATCCATCGTGGGCTGCCCCCGTGACGGGAGGCGGTGATGCGCATATCCCTCCGCGCGACGGGACTGGCGGCCTGCGGCCCGCCAACCTTCAACGGTGCGCGCGCGTTTCGATTCCGGGGGGTCGCAGTCGCAGCAGGCCAACGTCCCGCGGCGCAGGCGCGACGCCCCCCATCCAGTCAGTCCGTCGAAATCGCAGGCGAGCGGGGCGACGGGGCCTCAGCGCGGCCCGAGAGGGCGGGTCGGCGCCGCGCGGCTGCGCCCTCCTCGGCGACGGGGGCTAAACCGTGTTCGGGCCGAAGTTCCAGCCCAGGCCATGGGAGAGATCGCCGCCTTGAACGTTGCTCCCCGCGGCTGCCCGTTCGGCCACTTGCCCATCGCGTCGGACCGGGCGGCGTCAGTTCAGGGGCGCTACCAAATTCCATCGCGAATATCCGAGGCCCAGGGTCGCGCTCAGGACCTGGGCTGGCATGTCACTGGGCCCCTGCCGAGTAATTAATCTGAGAGAGGACCGTCTGCTGGGATTGCGATGCTGGCCCCGCGCAGAAATTGGCTACGTTGCCCGAGCTGGAGATTCCCGAGGCCGCGCCGCGGCGCCTGCGCATGCCCATGCGGGAGTGCCAGGCGGGTTCGGCGAAGGCGTCTTGCCCCTGGATGATCAAGAGAAGATGGGCCCCGTGACTACCGCGCAGATCTGGCGCGTGGCGAAGGCGCTGCGTCGACTGGACGCGCCGGGGCGCGACTGGCTCGGGCGGCGATTGGAGCGGCCAGCCTGCGGAGGTCACGTCACGCTTTCGGGCGCAGTCTGTGTCAGCGGTCGCCTTGGCGCCGATTATGCAAATTTGCCGCGCGTCCGCTGCCGGCGCCAGCGTCGACGTCGTTCGCGGCATCCTCCAACTGACCGGCACGGGTGTACCGCGGTGTTCAGGTGGGCGAGGAGGGCGGCCTATGCCCGCACCCAGCCTTGGAGGTGAACACGCAGTCGCAGGACGCGCCGGCACGGCGACTCCTTCTTGGCCGACCCTAGGCGTTGCCCAGCGAGGCGCCAGCGGGGCGCGCGAGGTGCCCGTTCGATTGGGGCGCCGAGCAGGTCGAGGACGCCCACAGCGTGCAAGGCCATGGTGCTGCTTGGGATTGTGTCATGTCAGGGCATGAGGGGGAGCTCGCGAATTGGCGCGACATCGCGCGGCCTAGAGCCCATGCGCACTGCGGGCAGGCGGAGGTGCGACGGCCGCCGCCGTGCGGGCAAGCCGCCAGACGGCCGCAGGCGGACGAGGCACCTGCGATGGAACGACGGCGGCTGCGTGCTCCTAAATCCCCGTCGCAGACGTCGCGCGACACCAGTGGGTGCGCCAAGGTGCGGCGCTCGGTCGCGCTCCAAGCTGCGCGCGAATTCCTGATTGTTCTTTGCCAGTGTGCTACGCAGCAGGGCAGCGCGACGTCTGCAGCATCAGTTGGCGCCCCTTTCTCGCGCGAGCTTGGAGGTGCTCGCGACGCCCGCTGTCGCGGCGGCATTCGAGGCTTCGCCCGGGGGGCCGGCGCTCACGCGAGAGAAGACGAGCAGGCGGAACGACGAGCTTGGACAATTTGCGCTAAGCAGGCCTTCTCCCGCGGCGCGTTCGTCCGTTGCCCACGGGGCATCGAAGGTGCAGCCCCTCGACCGGGCTGTTCCTGGGTCAAACTGAGGGGCGGGGCGCAGCAATGCACGCTTGTGAGCGAGAGCACGGACTACGCGTGAAGGCACTGAGTCGCGGCGACCACCTGTGTCGCAGAACTGGCCGGAGCCCCCGCGGACATTCGCGTGGTCGCATTGCGTGCGCCAAGCAAGACCTCCCCAGGACCTGCTTGCTGACCTACATCCGCGACTGCCGCGCATCTGTCGGACAAGGCCCTGGGGGCCTCGGCAGCATTTTTCGTCGGCGCGAACGCCATCGTGATTGGCCCATGGAGCATTTGTGGGCGCCGTGTGCCGGATTCGTAAGCATGGAGCAAGGCGTCGCCTCATCGCGGTCGCGCGCGCTTTCCTCCAGATACGGGGTCGGCTGCGACGCCCGACGTCTGCCGATTGGTCGGGGGCTCGCCGCTGCGAGGAGGCGCGGGGCAATCGGGGCCGCTGCAGATCTAGCGACATCGCCCCTGCCCAAAACTTGGAGGCGGAGATCGCGGCGTTGAAAAGGACACTTTGTGTCGGCGGCCCTCTTGCATCTCGCGGAGGCCTTCAACGTGGTCCAGCCGTCTCAGCTCTTCTAGGAGGGGCAACGCCGGGGGCATTCGCCGGGATCGTCGCGGATGCTCGTCATGTCGCGCAGGACGCCGCGACGCGTGAGGGGCCATGACTCTTCGTCGGACGCCGGTCAGACGGGGGGGGGCTGCCAGCGGGTAACGAGCGCGCGCCGCGCGCTGCAGCTGCTCGCCCGGCGAGCCCCGGCGCGCGCCCTGGAGGCGCCCGCCGCGTTGTGTTCAAGAGCTCTGGTGGATGATGCGACCGTGCAGCATGCCGATCCGGGGCCCGATGCGCCGCGACATCTCGGCGAGGCAGCGCAGTTTTCCAGGGCGGCCCCTACGTCCTCGGCTCTCGCACCAATTTGGGGAATCGGGGGGCGGCGCTGGGTCCTGCGCGCGAGTTGCGCGCCCGATGGGTCGTCTGCCGCTGCGAGATTGGATGCGGAATCTAGGGCGCGAGACCTTTGGAGCGCGCCCGCGCAGGAACCAGGGGCAGCCCAGCGCGGCCAGCCGTCGGCCACGGGGCAGGCGCTTCAGGCACGTCGGGCGAGGTGCCCAGGCAGACGAGGTCCATCGCGGCCACGTTGGTCGGGTTTCCTGCCAGAGCATCGAATGCATTGCGCCAACATTTTCTATGGCAGTTGCAGTGCGATCCGATGTTCGATTCCACGGCTTCGAGTTGCATCGACGTCGGGGGTGTAGAAGGATGCTTCCCATTGGTGTTCGCCATGCCTGGGTGGAACTGGCACCGCTTGCACAGTCTGGCCGGACCTGGGCAGGGGCGCGCGGGCCCTTGGGCGCATGTTGGTTCACCCTCAGACGCCTCTGGCGGGGAGCGGCCATCGCCGCGCCATTGGGCGCGACGACGCGAGTGGAGTTCATGCTTCAGTGCGGTTTGCCCCAGCAGGCATGAGGCACTTCCTCGAGGATTCTGGCGGGCAAGAGATGGCGGATGCACGAGCTGATCGGCGCGCCGTCGCAGGCCGAGGACGTCGTCGACGACGCGCGGGAGAGGGCGCTGCGCGACGGCCTGAAGGAGCTCTCTCCGCAGCACATCGGCGCCCTGCGGGCTGTCTGGGCCGACGCGCACCCCGCCGCGGCGAGGCTGGCGGCGCGGGGCAAACACATTGTGCCGGCCCGCAACGCATGACAGTCACCGGGCTGCAGCTATGGGCGCAGGCGGGGTGATTTGGCTTTGTTGCTCGAGCCCGATGAAAATGACATCTGGGCCGATTGATGTTCGGACATGCGAGCTCAAATCGCAACGTGAAGCGCTTCGCTCACTTGCCGCGCGCCACGAGCTAGGGCGCCCAGAGTAGAGCGCGTTATAATCCACAAATTTTGATATAGTGTATATGCTATTCCCAGATTGTCCGCGCTTCTTCCCCTGCTACCATAGATCCCTGAGGTCTAGGAGTTTGGGGATGTGCGCGTTGCCTGGTGTCGCGTTGTGTTTGGGGGCGGCAGCGCCCAGGGATCTTCGTTGCACGAGGTGCGTAGGGTTGGCCAGGCCATTGGGCAGATCGACGCGAACCTCTCCCGTGCGCGAGCCTTGTTTGGGAATCCCGTAGGGCCCGTACAAGCGCTTGGATGAGCGGAGCGCGCAGCCGCCCTTCGCGTGTGCAGGGCCAACCCATACCTTGAAGGTGTTTGTCTCAGAATTCCCGGCCATTGCCCAAGGAGGGCAAAGTTGTGGCCCAGATCTTGCCAGAGGCATGCAGCAGTACGCTGGGGTATGGATCGCCATGTTCGCCCTTGCTGAGAATCGTGTTGTGCCGTTGCGTATTCAGACCCCAGCGCATCCCAGTGCTGACGCAGCTTACGAGCACGGATGCGACTAAATTGATTGGGTTGGTGATGCCTTGGCTGACTACTTTGCTATTGCCTTGGCTGCTTACTTTGGCTGAGTAGTGGTCCCCCAAAGTTTCCCGAAATCTGACGATTCAGAGCTGCAGTTTCATGAAGCTACCCTCCTGTCTGTCGCGCGGGCTGCGGCTCGGTTTGCGCGAAGGACGTGACGACCAGCTTGATTCTCGGCGTTGAACTCCCAGGAACATTGTTGTGGCACGATTGAGGAATCTCAGACGGTTGTTTTCAAACGGGGCTCTTCCCGCAATGGCCATACATTGTAGTTTGAACCCATGAAGAGGGAACCTGGAGGGAGGATTTATGGTGATGCGTTTTGGGTTTGCGCTGGTCCTCCTCCTCGTCCTCCTCCTCCTCCTCCCTCCTCCTCCTCCTCATCCCGCAGGCCCTGTCCGGCCTCCTCCGAAGAAGGCTGTCCGTCCAGCGGCAGCCGCTGGTGGGCGCCGTTCCCGTACGCATCCGGGAGCCAGCTATGTCCCCCCAGTCTGATTTTTGAGGAGCCGTGATTCGCATCGGCTCTTGCCTTGCCCGACCTTCCAGAGAGCTGTTTTTCAGCACTGGAAACCTCCTGGAAGGTCAGGGTTGTCTTGTCCTCCTGGAAGGTCAGGGTTGCCTTGTCCTCCCGTCCGCCAGGCCCTTCGGCGGGCCTCCGCGCCCTGCGACGCCGCCGACGCGCGCCGCGGCCACGCCGCTCCGCGGGGCGCGGGCTGCGCGGGCGCCGCGCGGGGCCCGGCGTGAGGCGCCGAGGGCCGCGCCGGGGCGCCTCAAGAAACCCTGCCGGCCAGGATTCGGAACGATGCACCCGGAGACCCAGACCCCTTCGAGTTATGAGAAAATCACGACGGGAGGTTTCTCCTTATTTTTGGCTTTGGGGGGCCCTTACCGGCCCTCGGGACCGTCAAGAAACGACTCAGGACGAAAAACCGGTCCCGGGGAATGGGTCGAGACCTCGGGGGGTCGACGTCATGAAAAAATCATGACGTCGGGGGTCTGGGGAGGGAGCGCGAAGCATGGAGCACGTTTTGACCCACGGCTGCAGCTGTCCAGGGCGCGCCGATGTCCCGGCTCATAGCCGCTTCCTCCTTGCGGGGCCCTGACACCAGGCGGGCCCAGGCGTCGGGCGTCTGGAGCAGAGTCGAGGTCACCGCGCGGTCTGTCGCCGCACCGCTTCGGGACTCCACAGAGGCCGGACGTGCCCCGGAGCGGGCACGCCCCGGAGAGGGGGCCTCCGCCGGGGCCCACCTCGGGGGCGCCCCGCGGCCGCGTGGTGGCGCCCGCCGCGGCCGGAGCCGCGGCCGCTGCGACGCCTCGCGCGGGGCACGGCGGGCTCGCGCGGCGTCGACGCGGCGGTGGGCCCCGGGCGCGGGCGTTCGAGGCGGAACGCCGCCAGTGGCCTTCAGTCGGACCTGTCCCTTGACAGGAGTAATTTTCAGAAACAGTATAAACCAATCGTCTGGGAGCGATGTTTCGAATCGATTCTTTGACCATGTTGGAGCATTTGTTTTTGGCTATGTTGCAGTGTTCCTCCAAACTTTGCCTGCAGGGGGACATGCCCGACCTAACAGCGGCCCTAGATCGTTCGACACGGAGCGGTCTGGGGGTCGGAAAGCCACCGACCGTGTAAGTTTGAACGATCCACGCGGTGTCAGAGGCCAACGCCGTCACCCTCGCGATGTGAGCATACCGCACGTCGCTCTGGACGTGTCTGTTGGATGTTCTTGAGCACCCTGCGGAAGGTACCCTTGGACGTCCTGTGTCTTTTGGCCAGCGGAGGGTCTCATGCTCGTGAGGGCTGTTCTTCTGGTTTGGGTCCGACCGCACGCCTGGCCCTCCCCAGCCCCCGGTACAGTCGGGGCCCTGAAGAAGGAACCCTTTTGGTTGGGGAGGGGCTCCGCGTTCCTCAAGTGTTTCACAGCTTGCCTCAGGTTTTCCTTATGTCTTTGATCGGAAGTCGAAGTTTAACTTGTGGAAAAAAGGGGCCTCGTTCCTTATTTAGGGTTCCTTAGGTCAACACCTCGACCGTAGGTCCGACCGCACGCCTGGCCCTCCCCGGCCCCCCGGCATGTACATACGCCGAGCGCCCCCGGCGCCCTGCGGCGCTGCCGACGGGCGCCGCGGCCGCACGCCTCTCGGGGCGCGTGCTGCGCGCCCTGGCCTCCGCGCGGCGCGGAGGAACAGAGATACAGGCCGGGCAGGGGCAGGAAATGGGCAGGGTAGGGCAAGGTAGAGTAGGGCAGAGTAGGGCAGAGTAGGGTAAGGTAAGGAAATGGGCAGAGTAGGTAAGGAAATGGGCAGAGTAGGGTAAGGCAGATGGATCGGGCAGAGCAGGGTAGAGTAGCTGGGGTAGGGCAGACAAGGGCAGAGCTGGGCAGATGGCAGAGCAATCTCGGGCATCGTAGTCTACAGCAGGGTAGAGTGGAGTAGACCAGAGTAGATGCCCGACTCGTCGGGCCTCGGATGCCCGCCCGTCTGGCCAAGCCCGAGCTGTGGGAGGTGAGACCGGGGGCACCTCGTCTCCGCCACGGGTTCGGGTTCGCCACGGAGCCGCCCGCCCCCCCCCCCCCCGCCAGGCAGGTCGACTGAGGAAATCCGGCGCGAGGTGAGCGGGCGAAAAGCGGTATAGCATTAGTTCTTCCCCGTCGAGGGCGTCTATCCCAGGGCGGCTGGAAAGTCTGTACACCTACGGTGGCAAGTCAGGGTAGAAACTCTCCAGCCGCCCTGGGACAGGCGCCCCCGGTGACGGAATAGTCTATGCCATGCCGCTCTTCGCCCCCTAGTGATGGCCCCTCAAGTCTCATGGCGCCAACATCGCAGAGCGGATGTCCTTCGGAAAACAGTTGGATGGGCCCAGATTGTCCTGGAGAATTTCGCTCCAGATTTCGAAGTGCATTTCATACGGACTTTTTTGGGCAGGAATGTAGACCACAAGAAGAGGAGGAGGGAGGAGGAGGGGGAGGCGGAGGAGGAGGAGGGAGGAGGAGGGAGGAGGAGGGAGGAGAAGGAGGAGGAGGAGGAGGAGGAGGGAGAGGAGGAGGAGGAGAGGAAGAGAGGAGAGGAGGACGAGGAGGAGGAGAGGAGGAGGAGGAGGAGGAGGAGGAGGAAGAGAAAGAGAAATAATAATAATAATGATAATAATAGTACGAATAACACTCTTCATACTACTATTTTTAGTACAAAGACGCAGCTTCATATTAGTACTACTACTACTACTACTACGATTACTACTACTACTACTTATACTTCTACTTCTACTTCTACTTCTACTACTACTACTACTACTACTGCTGCTACTACTACTACTACTACTACTACTACTACTACTACTACTACTACTACTACTACTACTACTACTACTACTACTACTACTACTACTACTACTACTACTACTACTACTACTACTACTACTACTACTACTACGACTACGACTACGACTACTTCTACTACTACTACTACTACTACTACTGCTGCTACTATTACTACTACCACCACCACTACTACTACTATTACTACTACTACTACTACTACTACTACTACTACTACTACTACTACTACTACTACTACTACTACTACTACTACTACTACTACTCTACTACTACTACTACTACTACTAACTACTAACTACTACTACCACTACTACTACTACTACTACTACTACTACTACTACTACTACTACCACCACTACTACAACTAACTGCTACTGCTCTGCTGCTACTGCTACTGCTACTACTACTGCTACCAACTACTACTACTACTACTAATACTACTACTACTACTACTACTACTACTACTACTACTACTACTACTACCACCACCACCACTACTACTACTACTACTACTACTACTTCTACTACTACTACCACTACTACTACTACTACTACTACTACTACTACTACTACTACTACTATACTACTACTACTACTACTACTACTACTACTACTACTAACTACTACTACTACTACTACTACTACTACTAACTACTACTAACTACTACTACTACTACTACTACTACTACTACTACTAACTACTACTACTACTACTACTACTAACTACTACTACTACTACTACTGCTACTACTACTACTACTACTACTACTACTACTACTACTACTACGACTACTACGACGACGGCGACAACGACGACGACTACTACTACTAATGATACTTTGGTTCATAGCAGTACTAGTAAGAATGATAAGAACACGGATGCTATGACTACTAATACTAAGAGTAATGATCATCATACCGATACTAATGGTACTGATCACAAGAATCATAAGTATAATTTCAAGAAGAATACTGAGAATAATAATAATACTAGTAATCATAACAACAATAATAAACACAATAATACTACTAGGAGGAGGAGGAGGAGGAGGAGGAGGAGGAGGCGGAGCAGGAGGAGCAGGAGTCGCAGGAGGAGGGAGGAGCAGGAGGAGGAGGAGGAGGGGAGGAGGAGGAGAGGAGGAGGAGGAGGAGGAGGAGGAGGAGGAGGAGAGGAGAATGGAAGAGAGTAGAAGGGAGGAGAGACAGGAGGAGAGGGGACGGTGATGGGGGGCGGGCAAGGCAGAGTTCGTTTCGATTCCCCCGAATCGATTCCATTCGATTCGATTATGTGTCGATTGCCTCCGATTCTGATGCGATTCGGCTTTGGATTCTGGTGTGGGCTCCGAGTTCTTATCAGCGGCATAGTAGCCTGCCGATTTCCGCCGATTACTTCTCCTGGCTCGGCTGCCGATTGCCGCCGATCCGATTCATTTCGATCGCCGATCCGACTTGTCGATTCGATTCTGGACTCTACTTGCAAGGGAGGCTGCCGGTGCCATCAGGCCAGCCAGGTCGAGCGAGTCAGAGGGCCCCGCCCACTCCAGGGGGGGGGGGGCAGGGGACGATGTGGGGGGTATGGTGGGGGAGGGAGGGGGAGGAGACTGGAGGGGATAGAAAAGGGGAGGGGATGGGATAGGGGTCTGGGGCACGTGGAGGGGATGGGGGTGGAAAGGTGCGGCGGCGGTGTGGGGGGAGCGGGCCCGGCCTTGGCGCCGAGGGCCCTCTTCGGGCTCCCCGCCTCGCCGCCCCGGCCGCAGGTTCGCGGAGGTCAGGCCGCGGGCCGAGTTCCACTTCGCCTGGCGGGGGGGTGCGGGGGCGCAGCGCAGCAGAAGAGATCGCCACCTCCAGTCCTCCTCGTTCTCCTCGTCCTCCTCCTTGTTCTCCTCCTCCTCCTCCACCTCCTCCTCCTCCTCCTCGTCCACCTCCTCCTTGTCCTTCTCGTTCTCCTCGTCCTCCCCGTTCCCCTCATTACCACCGCGAGGAGCAGAGGAAAGGGCCTCGCGGTGGTGCGGTCTCGCTGTCTTTCGGGGCACCGTGTATCGCCTCGCGCCGGATGGCCATGCTGGCAGTGGTGGTGGTGGCGTGTCTTCTTCCTCTGTTGGGGGGGGGGAATGTGTGCTGTGACTGAGGAGGTGGCGGAGGGAGGAGGAGGAGGAGGAGGAGGAGGAGGAGGAGGAGGAGGAGGAGGAGGAGGAGGAGGAGGAGGAGGGGGAGGGGGAAGGAGGACGGAGGAAGAAGGAATAGGAAGGAGGGAGGAGGAGGGAGGACAGAGGAGGCAGGAGGCAGGAGGCGGGAGGCACGGGGAGGACAGACGGAGACAAGTGGCACCACGGCGCGCCTTCTGGCGGCACAGGGGGCGGGGGGGCGCGGTACGCCTGCCTGCGCGTCGGGCACCTGCGGAGCCCCGCGGCGCGC